AGGAATGTGTGTGTGGCAGAGGGGTTGTTTTCTCTGAAAGCTGTCCATGATAAAGATGAATGTGGGACAAGAGTGTCTAGCATACTATCTGGAGAACATCTATTTAAATGAGAAAAAGACTTCTTAATGGCTAGTTATGGATTGAAAGCTTCTAATGGCTTTTGCCTCACTGTCCAGTTTTGTTATTTGCTGGGAAACTGCATGTTTGTATTTATCTGCTCTAAGCAGCAGATTATGTTTTACTCAGAGAAATTGAAAGCAATCAAACATATGTTAATATCCACTGGCAAAGATTAGTGTGTTATTTAGAACAGAAAAGTTTTAAGGAAATTGGAAATAATAATAATAAAAGTTAGATTATTGTTTTTTTAATGAAGTAGCTATGAATCAATTTGTAGGTATACTAAAGTGTTCAGAGAGCACGCCTTTCATAAACTGACATATATAGCAAGTCCATCCGTTATAGTACAATATAGTAGCAGTGTAATAAGGCTTTCAAGCTAACCAGTGATCAAACTACCTTTCTTCTTCTTTTTTTTTTTTTTTTAAACTTAGTAGTAGAGAGCAATATTAGAGAGATATATACAATTAAATTCTATTGTCTGTCACATAAACTGTTGCAATAGCAAGGTTTAGCTCAGAGACAACAAAGGTGTAAGAAAAATATGAAGAACAATTTGTGCAATTAAAATTTGGAAAAAAAAAGTGTCAAGAAGATACCTTTGGATGGGTTTGTGATAAAATGGATTGCTAAGATGCTTATTTTTCCTTAAATAGGAGGAAATCATTGGTTTTAATGGAAAAAGATGTTCTAAAGACCTTGAGTTCTTTTGGAAATAATACTGCACCTAGCACTTTAATCTTTGTCTGTTTACAAATAGTTTTTAAAGCCTAGAAAAATGTCTCAAGTTCCTAAAAGGACTTATCTGGTTAGATCTTTCTGTTAACCTAGGGAAATAATTACAGTTGATCTTTTTTGAGCTATGATTATTCTTTAGAAGACATAAACTTCTTCATTAAGTAAGAAAGAAGGTATATAGGAAATGAGAAGGATACTGCAATATGTATACTTAATATGGTAAGATAGATTTTTCAGTTTTGTAAGTCTGTGGTACACAAAAAAAAGATGAAACAAGATCCTCCAAAGAAGAAGAGTAAGGCTAATTAAAATAACAGTTTACTAGAGGGTAATAATAAACTCAACATTGCTTGGAGTCTAAAACATACTATTTTCTAGAAGACACACTTTTATCTTGCCTCTAGGAGGGAGAAAATCTTCAGTTTATGCATTCAAGGAACTGTCTGGAAGATCATAATGGTACCTTCTGGCCAGAGAAATTGAGTATTTTTGCTGAACATGGTTCTTTTTATATCAAATAAATACTGACATTACAATGCCTGCAAGTAATTGAATTAGTGATAGTTATGGAGGCTTAAATGTACATTCTGAATGATAGTATTAAATTCTCTCTGACAAAACTTGAAGAGTTAAAGTCATGAAACTCTTGATGTAATTTGTCTAGTAGACTGATGGGAAATATTAGACTGCTTCTAATACTTTTGTAACTCATGTTCAATCATGCTGGTTAGTGAGACATTGATGAGCGTTGGGAGAGTAGCGGTGAGCTGAGGGGAGTAGAGTATAACTGGAACAGAGGAGCAACTGCTTTTCATGAGCCATCATGACGGAGGCAGATCCCTCAGAGGCCTTCAAAATGTCTACCAAGCAGCATGGTATTGGTTCATGACAGAAAAAGTTGGCCAATCAAATAGCTTACATTCATTGTGTTACTTTTAGATCATGCTAATAAGTGAATGACAGCCCTTATTTGCTCATAGCAATCACATCTTAGAAAAATATGCAGGGGTTTCATTTGTGCAATTACGGAAACTAACGGACTTGAAATTCAGCTAGAAACAAAGTGTCAAGTCTTCCTGCTCAAGCTGACAGATCTCTAATCAGTTGTCATCTTATATTTACTTTAAAAGACTTTATTGCAGAGTACTGAATATTTTTCAAGGAGAGCTGATAGCTATGGACTTTATGCCATTAATTTGTTGACAACAAGGTGGTAATAAGCTAAGTTCTAGTCTTTTGAGGGGCAAAGACTTTATTAATAAACTCAGCTGAATTTTAACCATCTCTTTTTTTTTTTTTTAAATGTTATTGAAGGTGTCATGCCAGTTAATTAATTGAAATAAATACTTGATATTGAGCCCTAGAGAAAATGTTGGTAATTATTGCAGCTCAAAATTTAGTATTTGCTTTAGAGTTTAATTAATGACGTTATGATTTCTGTCATAGAGCATCTCTAGACCTTGCCACTTTCAAACTAAAAACCTTAGCACTGCTTTGACAGTGTTGGTGCCAGATAAAGCTTTTATGACTGGCTTGTTCAGGCAAATGGGAGAGATTAAGAGCACCTATTTTGGCTCTGGAGGTGCAGTTTAGGTGTATGTGCCTATGAAACAGGTTCAGAAAGCTAATATTCTAGTAGCTACCTTATTCTAACTGCGACTGTGTTTTGAATCACAAAGTTACCTGTGAACCTAAGATTCACAGTTACCAAACCATTCCATCTGGAAATCCATGCTATGGCGACATCCAGAAATAAGGCAAAAAAGAGTAGTTAAGTTCTGAATGCTCCTAAAACACATGAACTCAGCGCATAGCTTAAAATCAGAGTGGAAACCACAGACATTTTCATTCAAGCATGGCTATTGGCTTAAAATCAGAGTAGAAACCACAGGCATTTTAATTCAAGCATGGCTATTGGAAGTTGTAGGTACTATATATAGCCTAAGGGAACTGACGTCCAGAGCTTCCA